TTCACATTTTTTCTTTTTTATTTCTATTTTCTTTCAAATTATTGTTATTTTAATTAATTTATTATTTTCATAAATATAAAAAACACCATAAAAAAAATCAGAAAAAGAGAAAATATAATAAATATTTTATTTTAGTATTTTTATAAATAAATTACATTAATTAAATTTAGTTATTAAAATAGGTTTAATAGTAATGTTTTCATAATTAATTTAAAATTTGTAGAACTAGGGTTTATGATAATTTTCATTCCTTTTTGTTTTTCTTTCATAAATAATTAAATAATTAAATGTTTATTTTTGTAATTAAATTGCAATAAAATAATTAGGGTTAATTTTAGGGTTAAAACTTTAATATGTTTTCTTAACAAATAAAAATTGTAGAATTAGGTTTAATTGCATTTAATTCTTTTTCCCATTAAAATCATAAAAAACCAAAAAATACCAAAAACAATTCCTTTTCTTGTTTTTATTAATTAATTCCATCATTAATTTAATTTTGCAAAAAGGGTCCAATGCCCTCGTTTTTTATTTTTATTTTAATTCGCATATCTATTTTTTTTTCGTTAAATATTTATGTATCTCTCCCAAAGCCTTGTAATTAATTTTCTCGTACTTTATTTTCATTAATTCTTTATTTTTCTGTCAAATCGGGTTCAAGAAATTTTGGTGATGTGGACCCGCGCCGTTTGTAATAGCTTAGAATTTACTTTTTTCGCAATTTTTAACTGTTAAATTAAGGCATGAAAGAATGTATGGACAAAAATAAAAACAAACGCATAGATCACCAATGACATGACAAAAGACAAAAATAAATGAAAACGACACACGAATCGCACACACCACCCCTAGGGTACGCCTCACTGTTGCCTTGCCTCGAAAGGTGATCGTCGAGTAGAGGATGTCTTAGTAAGTCCTCATGATCCGGGAACCTGGCATGAGGGTAGCTTCTAAGGTGTCTTCCCATTGCTCTGGTGATCACCATGTCCCGAACCTCGAATTGACCCGAACACCTCCAACGGTGGTGCTACCTACCTCTCAATGGTGGGATGGCACTACTTTAAAGGACATTTACACAGACGAATTCCTTAGGGTAGGTAGACGACTCTTGATACTTGCTCTAATTTCAAACAAATCAAAAATACTTTTCACACCAACACATTTTCAAAAAGCTTTCGAGAGCATTTTTTCAAACACTCTTGAGGACCGATACAAGAGTCGAACTGAAATTTTCAAAGAAACTTTTTTCAAACCCACTCACACTTGAAAAGCAAACAAACATTTTGAAAACACAAATGAGCAAGTATCTAAGAGCCCATGGATAACCATGGATAGAAAGGGTGTTAACACCTTCCCTTTCTATAACCTACCTCCCGAACCGAGAGCAATCTCTTTAAGGAATTTTTCTGTGCTTTTGTCCTTTCCATTTGGAGAAAATAAAAGACGGTGGCGACTCTTGCTTCCGCGACATTTCGCGAACCAGCGTTAAACAGTCAGTTCCAGATCCACCGATCACACTTGCGTATTTGCAACTTATCGAAAGCCCAATGTGTTTTGGCAATCTTTGTTAGAGTCTGCTTTGACCAATCTCTTTCTCTTGTAAAGTTCACCTTCGGTCGGTGCTCTCTAAAGGTCCTGCTTAGTTGGTTCCTTGTTTTGGTTTATCCGCGTTAGTCAGGTCCGCCTTTCATTAGCCTAGCCAACTCTTTATGATTAAGAGTCTTTCAATGTCTCTTCAAAGTCCAGTTTTATGGCGCCCTTGTTTAGGCGAATGCGTCCTTTTTTATTGGGGCTTTCTTCGGTTAGTCTCGTTCCTGTGTTCGCTAGCAATTCTAAACATTTGTTTCTTGATGATCAATTTCGCTCTTGTGTATCTAACTCTGACCAGATATACATACCTGTACCGTTTGTTGAGAGTCCCCTTCGGTTAGTCTCTTTGCAGTTGTAAGTTCGCCTTCGACCGACGTTCTTTTCTTAGGAATCTACCTTCGGCATAGTATTCCTTGATGAAGATTCCCCTTCGGCTGGTTTCTTTATCCTAAAGTCCACCTTCGGCTGGCACCCTTTAAAGTCCACATTCGGCTGGCATCCTTTAAAATCCACCTCCGGCTGGTATCATTTTGTTGAGAGTCCCCTTCGGCTGGTCTCTTTGCAGTTGTAAATTCGCCTTCGACCGGCGTTCTTTTCTTAGGAATCTACCTTCGGCATAGTATTCCTTGATGAAGATTCCCCTTCGGCTGGTTTCTTTATCCTAAAGTCCACCTTCGGCTGGCACCCTTTAAAGTCCACATTCGGCTGGCATCCTTTAAAATCCACCTCCGGCTGGTATCATTTTGTTGAGAGTCCCCTTCGGCTGGTCTCTTTGCAGTTGTAAGTTCGCCTTCGACCGGCGTTCTTTTCTTAGGAATCTACCTTCGGCATAGTATTCCTTGATGAAGATTCCCCTTCGGCTGGTTTCTTTATCCTAAAGTCCACCTTCGGATGGCACCCTCTAAAGTCCACCTTCGGATGGCACCCTCTAAAGTCCACCTTCGGCTGGCACCCTCTAAAGTCCACCTTCGGCTGGCACCCTCTAAAGTCCACCTTCGGCTGGCACCCTTTAAAGTCCACCTTCGGCTGGCACCCTTTAAAATCCTGCTTTGGCTGGTACCCTTTGTTGAAATCCATCGTCGACTGGTATCGTATGTCGGGAGTCCCATTCGCTTGGCCTCAAGTTCGCCTTCGATTGGTATTCCTTCGTCAGAGCCTTCTTCGGTCGGTATCTTTCTTGTGTATGTCTAACCTTGACTTGACATCCAAGAGATTTTCTCAGCTAATTACTACAATCCAAAGAAAACAAAAAATATATAATAACACCTGACTGGCTTCGGAGCGCAAATTTTTGGGTTCTTTTTGTATTTAATCTTCTTCCACCTTGAAGGTTCGAAAGGCTCGCGCCAATCTCACCTTTGGGTTGAAAGCGATTAAATAGGGGGCAGCTGTTGCACCCCAAATTTTGCCCTCCTAATTTCTTCTATCTGGCTTAGACTCTCTGCATTCATCTATATTTGGGCATTTTATTTTTTGGCATAGTGAAGAGAAGTTTAGATCATGATGTTGGGGTTGCCGAAGCTTTTGATCTTAGTCTTTCAGAAGATCAGTTTATATCACTTTTTCTGACCTCTTTATCGTATTTGAGGTTAATTTTGGAGAGATTTGGGGATCTGAGTCACAGAGCTTTTGAAAAGATCCCGTACTTCTATTCAAAAATCCTTTTAAAAGGTTTTAGTCAGTGGAAGATCTTTTTGTCCAAAGACATATTTGAGGAAGAGTATGGAGAATCTGTCCCATCATCTGTTTAAGAGCTTCTCTGTCTTACTGATTGTAGTCTCCTTAGAAAATCAATCAATATGTTGCAGTATCACTTTGCTCTTAATGGAGATTCTCTGAAACTGAAGAACCGTTTGAAGCTATTCAAATCCATTTGGCCCACACTTGCCTTACTACAGAAAAACATACCTCAACAATGGCCCATATAAAGGAAAGAAATATAAGTATTATGGGATACCAATGGAAACATTTTTCTCCTTTTTGAGTTCTGTTATAGTGTTTCAGATAATGATACCCATATCTCTTTACATCACAACGGAGTTGGTTAGGTTGGGCCAGTCATACTTCATGATTGAAGACATGGATATGTATGACCCTAGCTCTGGATTAAAGTTTCAGTGTAGACCATTAAATATAAATGAAGATTTGGGTCAAATACGTTATGTATTTTCAGACAAGACAGGAACACTAACAGAAAACAAGATGGAATTCCGGAGGGCTAGTGTACATGGGAATAATTATGGGAGCTCCTTGGTTACTACTGATGATAGTTCAGCAGCAACAGCTGTTATTCCGAAACGGAGATGGAAGCTCAAATCTGAAATTGCAGTTGATCCCCAACTAATGACCATGCTGCATAGAAACTCAAATAGAGATGAAAGAATAGCTGCTCATGAGTTTTTTCTTACATTGGCTGCTTGTAATACTGTGATTCCTATACTTACTGATGGTGGATTTTCTGGTTGTGGAACAAGTGAATCAAATGGATATGTAGAATGCATTGATTATCAGGGTGAATCCCCTGATGAACAAGCTCTAGTTTCTGCGGCCTCTGCATATGGATACACTCTTTTTGAGCGGACATCTGGACATATTGTTATTGACATCAACTGTGAGAAACTCAGGTTGGATGTGTTGGGCCTGCACGAATTTGACAGTGTGCGAAAGAGAATGTCCGTTGTTATTCGGTTTTCTAACAACGTGGTAAAGGTGTTTGTCAAAGGCGCTGATACATCAATGTTTAGCGTTTTGGCAAATGTCAGTGAGAGCAACAGTAGCTTATTGCATGCAACTCAGAGCCATCTGAGTGAATACTCATCACAAGGTTTGCGCACCCTTGTGGTTGTCTCTAGAAGTCTATCTGATGCTGAACTTGAGGAGTGGCAAAGCAGGTATGGAGAGGCTAGCACCGCGTTAACTGACAGAGCTACTAAACTACGTCAAACTGCAGCTCTTATAGAATGAAATTTAAATCTACTTGGAGCAACTGGAATTGAAGACAAGCTGCAAGAGGGTGTACCAGAAGCCATTGAGTCCCTACGGCAAGCTGGAATCAAGGTCTGGGTTCTTACCGGTGATAAACAAGAGACGGCAATTTCAATTGGTCTTTCCTACAAACTTCTCAGTGTAGATATGCAACAAATTGTTATAAACGGTACTTTAGAGGAGGAATGCAGAAATCTTTTGGGTGATGCAATAGCCAAATATGCTGTGAGATGTTCAAGTAGAGGGCACCAGAATCTGAAGCATAAAACCAATGCTGAACATGGCGCACTTGATATTCCTAATTGTTCAAAGTCAATGAGTTTGCCCAAATGGAATCTAGGAAAGGAAGAAGGAGCTGATACTCCATTGGCACTTGTAACTTGCAGAAGGCTGGAATTGTTGATCTGATAAAGAGCCGTACAGATGATATGACACTGGCCATAGGTGACGGGGCCAATGATGTGTCAATGATCCAAATGGCAGATGTTGGTGTTGGAATATGTGGGCAGGAAGGACGTCAAGCAGTGATGGCATCAGATTTTGCTATGGGGCAATTTCAGTTCTTGAAAAGATTACTTCTTGTTCATGGACACTGGAATTACCAGCGTGTCGGTTATTTAGTTATGTACAACTTCTACCGCAATGTTGTCTTTGTGTTGATGTTATTTTGGTATATATTATGCACGGCTTTTTCTACAACTTCTGCATTAACAGATTGGAGTAGTGTATTCTATTCTGTGCTATACACATCTGTACCCACAATTTTTGTTGGTATTTTGGACAAAGACTTGAGTCATAGGACGCTTTTGCAGTATCCGAAACTGTATAGTACTGGTTATAGGCAAGAAGCTTACAATATGCAATTATTTTGGATCACAATGCTTGACACAGTATGGCAGCACCTCAACTTATTGCAGAAGATTGGGTAGCTTGCGACAGATGCCAGAAATGGAGGCTTCTACCTACTGGCTTAAAGCCAGAGCAACTTCCAGAGAAATGGTTGTGTGTCATGCTTAATTGGCTGCCTGGGATGAATTCTTGTGACTTCAGTGAGGATGAGACAACAAAGGCATTGTATGCTTCATATCAAGTGCCGATTTCTGAGGGTCAAAATAACTTGCAAACGCATGCCTCTGAAACTGCATTTGGAGTGAGCTCTGCTGATGCATCACAGTTTGGTCTGAATCACAAAAAGTCCAATTCTAACGTGTTGCTTGACCAAGGAAAGAAGAAACCTGTTTTTAAGGAAAAGATAATGTCAGGAAAGCTCAATGCTCAAGTATCAGGAAAAAATAGAAACTTGAATCAACATTCTACAGATTCTAAACCAATGAAGATGAAACATCCCAGCAGGTCTAACAACACGATAGAAGAGAGACATGTGTCCGAAGAGAGAGAAAAGCAAACAAGTGAAGGTACCAGAAAGTATATTAAGTTGAAACGTAAGACAGATGCTGATCAAACTAGTTCTGGAACTCCTAAGAAATCAAAAACTGAACATGTTCCCTATGCTGATAAACAACCGAATCCTGGCACGGGCCTTGGGAAGGTGGTTCCAAAACAAGAGGCTATAATACAATTTGTTATTGACGCAATTCAAGCGGAAGCTTTTAATCCCAAGACTCTTTTTCTGATTGGCAGCTATACAATTGGAAAAGAAAGGCTATTCTTGGAGGTTGCTCGTTTGCTTCGCAAAAAGGTTTACGTAACTACAGCAAAATTACGCCTTTTAAACTGTTTAGAATTTACTGAGGAGGATATGCAGTGGTTTACTTCAAATGAGCATGAAAGCAATATTCATGTTGCCCCTATGTGGACACTCGCAAGCTTTAAAAGATTGAAGCACATATCAAGTCAATATGCGAGTCGGTTCAGTCTTATAGTTGCTTTCTCTCCTACTGGTTGGACATTTGGCAAAGGTAAAAAGAAGTCTTCTGGAAGAAGGTGGCAGCAGGGTACTGTTATAAGGTATGAAGTTCCTTACAGTGAGCATTCCAGCTTTACAGAACTCAAAGAGTTTGTAAATTTTGTGTCTCCCAATAACATTACACCAAGTGTAAATAATGATGGACCAGAATCTGCGGAAGCAATGGTTTCTCTCCTGTCAACTTGATTTGTGCACTAAAAGGGATTCAGTTCAGTCTACCCTTGTAACATCTGTGTTTGAGAGTCAGGAAGTTGCTTGAGCAATATGAGCAGCAGTAACTTTTTATGCCCATCACTTTTCAGATTTGCTGCTTTGCCAAAAGGTTAAAATATGACAAGAGAAGAAACTATATATTTTAGCAGAGGAGCTTATCTTGCTTATTTTCATGCGAAAGTATGCACGTTTATGTCAACCGTGACATAAAATCTGAAGTGATCGTTGTCCACTACATACTAAGTTGGGAAGTGTTTACAACCCCTTCCTCTGTTGATCCTGAATTAACCCAATGCTTTTTCTAGCAATAAGATGGAGCTTGTCAAAGTTCTTGCTGCACTGCAACCTGTTGGTCTTACGTTATTGTTTGAGATCTTTAACATTTGGTTGCAGATAACAAATGCTTAGCGCTTTAAAAAACCTCTATAGCCTGTATTATTTGTGTAATTTTGCTTTGTACTTTAAATTCTCAGCTTTCTACATTCTTCTGTAACTGATCACATAATAGTTAACAATTATATGGATGCTTGATTATGCACTTAGACAGGTTGTGTCCAAATTAACAGCTCATCAATCTCCTCCTAACAACTTTATAACTCTCTAACTACCTCCAAACAGAATTCCCAACTAGCATAACCACCTTGTAACCAACTCTCAATCTCACCCTTCAATCCCTAACAAACTCTATCCAAATCAATGGTTCAGATTGATTCCCACATAACCATTTCCTCCCTCAACTACCTATATAATCCAAACCCCCTCCAAGTTTTGAGGGGACGAGGCCACTCTCTCTTTTCCAGTTTCAGAACTTCATCATTGTATCAGCTTCAAAACAACTTCTTCCCTCTCCATCATTCACTCTCAATTTTTCTGAACTCTCATAATCTTCAAATTCCCCTCTCTAAACTCCGTATTCGCCTCCACTCTCCATTTTTCGACCTCCAGTTAGTTCTCAAAGCTTCACTTCTCTCTGATTCATCATACAAAGTTCATTTTTCTCAACTCGCGATAATCTTCATAATTGTCATCATTTCCGCTCTTCTCCTATCGCCAACGCACGCAACTCCCAGACCAAAGAAAAGTGAAGACAGTGAGGAGAGAATCAAGATGAAGCAGACAAGATCAAGATAAACAATAACTGTATTACTTCACCTCTGGATTTCTGAAGCGCTACCAACGTGCCTTCGATAGGTAATTCTCAATCTTCTTCTTTTTACGATTTTTTTTGCTTGGTCTGTACCATAACCGCGAAGGATAAAATGCGGCGAATGATAAATCCACCATGTAATCTTGACCGGAAGAAATGTAGAGCTTAAGTTTCGTTGTTAGATTCAGAATAGAGGAAGAGAAATTGACAAAAGCAAGCAAAGGAATCGAATTCAAAGGGAGACGTTAGGTGGTGTTAACAAGAAAGTTGAATCGGAACAGGGGAGAAGGGGTGGAGTCATGGTGGCATCGCCATTGTTGTTGTCGACATGTAGAAGAAAGGTTTTCTGTGTAAAGGAGCTGGAAGGGGTCGTTTACAGCAAACGTCGTCGTTTTGGAATTCTGTTATTTCTTTTTCTCCTTTTATTATTATTCATTTATTTAATTGTTATTTCAAATAGTTAAATCAAAAAAAAAAAAAAAAAAAAGAGGAGAACTTATTATATTCTTTTTATTATTTTGCCTTTGGAAATTAATTCATAATTATTCGGTTACTCGAAACTGGTAATTCACTTTACTCGTCAAGATTCGAGTCTTATGCAGGTTTTTATATGGATATGTTCGAGATGCTGATTGTGATTCATTTTCACATTAAAAGATGCTTCAGTAATGGGGTTTCTGACTCTTTTCTTTGTTGGTGCTAGCAGCTCGCAAGAACATCAAGTATCTTTGCTTTTTCTACTTTGCTCTACGGGCTAGTATCCGTTTGGTATACTTTCTTTCTATTTTACCTCGCATTTATCTTTTCCCATAGATCATATGAAGTGTGATAGAATCAGGTTTAGGCTAGTCTCCCTATAACGTTTCTTTCCCTTTTCGCATATGCATTTATAATAACAAAAATTTCTTTTTTTACAAAAACTTCAAAAATACAAAAAAGGGGAAATTTACTGACAAGAACCACGTCTTGGCTAAGTTTGAGAGATGATAAGCGAGTTTCTTCTTGACCTTATTATTCTCTTGTTCTAAGCTTTGGTATGGTTCAAGTCTCAAAGACTCATTTCATGAATAAGTAGAGACATGGCTAAAATCTCTCTCTTGAGATCAACTAGCTATTATTTACAAGCAAAAATACCAACCAATACAAACTCTTTTTGCCTTCGGGCCCTTCCTTTCAAAAACTTTTCAGAAGAGCGTGTTAATTCACTTCTGTGCTGACGCGTAAATCTCCAAAGGTCGAGTTGCGGCAGAAGGCGAAATCACTATCGTTCATTCAAAAAACAAACGAATTCAAAACTTTTTGTGCGTCCAGGAACATTTCTTTCCAAACTTTTCAGAAGAGCATGTTAATTCACTTATGTGCTGACGCGTAAGTCTCCAACGGTCGAGTTGCGGTAGAAGGCGAAATTAATAGTTTTCAGTAAAAAATACAAATAAACAAAAACATATAAGCCGAACTACGGCTGCTCTGATTCCTTAAAAGGGATACGTAGGCATTGGGGTAGGGCCCAAGCGAGAACAACAATTTTATTTTCCCTACATTCTTTTCTCTTTTCTTTTGCATGCATTCCCTTCAGTAGTATAGTAAACAGTAAGCATAGATTAAACACACCCATAAGATAGATAACAAGAGTGGATACCGTAGAGTACTACGGGCGTGTGGGGTGATAATACCTTCCCCTCACGTAACAGACTCCCTTACCCGATCTCTCGGTCGCAAGACCGTGACTTCTCCCTCATCAGGTTTTCTCGATGTTTACCTTTCCCTACATGTGGGATAAAAGACGTTCGATGGCGACTTCATTGTTTTGATGATTTTCAGCCGGTTGTTTCAGTCCTGTCCGAAGATGCATCTGTGGTCCTACGTTAGAAAAATCCAACCTCACTCTTCTGATAAGGATCTGTGGGTCCACTTTTTTCAAGATAGTTTGTCGGGTACGCAATTGGACTGGTTCTATCAACTTGAAAGAACTGATGTACATAACTGGGAGGATTTAGCTGCTGCTTTCTACCGACAATACCAATATAATGCAGATTTAGCGCCTACTCGTACTCAACTACAGAGTATGGGTATGGTCTCTAGTGAAGGCTTTAAGGAGTACGCCCAGAAGTGGCGGGATTTGGCTGGAAGGGTGCAGCCACCATTGTCGGATAGAGAGCTGGTTGATATGTTTTTGGGGACCCTGTCAGGTCCATTCTTCAATCACTTGATCGGGAGCTCATCTGCAGGGTTCATCGAATTAATTCTGACAGGTGAAAGGGTCGAATCTGGCATTAAGAGTGGTAAAATTCAGAAAGACACATCTGCTTCTATCGCTGTCAATAAACCTTTTCCAGACAAGAAATAGGTGTCATCTATTTACTCTCAGAAAGGTCGAGGAAGAGTGGAGTGCCGGTCAACATTGGGGGCTATGATGATCCAAAAGACAGCAGTTGATCAACCTAGAAACGATCAACCAAGAGCCAACCAACAAAGAGGAGGAAGGCCTGCTAGGCAGTTCACCAAAATAAACATGACGCCTTCCCAGGTCCTTCCCCATCTTTTAAAGCTGAACCTTACAACCTTGAGAGATCCGCCACAAGATCCGAATACGACTTCTCCTTTTTACAATGCCAATGCTAAATGTGCTTACCATTCCAACAGTATAGGGCACGACACCAACAACTGTTGGGCCCTTAAAAACAAGATCCAAGATTTAATAGATGCCAAGGAGGTGGAGTTTGATGCCCCCAAAAAACCTAATGTGATATCCGCTCCCATGCCAAAACATGGTCATAATGTCCATGCTATTGTAGAAGGTCTTCATGTTACCACTGTTAATGACTTAATGACTCCATTGCCAATGATCAAGATGAATCTGTTGAAAGCCGGGATTTTCCCGGGTTGTGAAAAAGATTGTTACCTTTGCTCGACCTTACAATCCGACTGTCCGCTGTTGAAATCAGGAATCCAACGCCTGATGGATACTCAAGAAATACTCTTTCAGAAAACTCATGTTGCTACTATCACTCATGTTACTCCTGTTACTCCAATCAATGATGTTGCTATAATCACCATTTCCGACAATCTTTCCAAGACCTACAAAAGGCCTGTTAAGATTACACCTGACTCAAAGTTTGTACCGCTGAAGATTACCATGCCGGGGCATATCCCATATAAGTCCAACAAGATGATGCCGTGGAATTATGGAGGAGATATCTTCTATCACAGTGTGAAACAGATTGAATCAGTTGAAGAAAATTCCGATGAAGAAACTCCTGATATAGGAAATATTGCAGGGACAAGTAAGATCACTCGTAGCGAAAGAATCTTCTCTCCGGAGATTGCTCCTCCAAGGGCAGTTTTCGGACCCTCAAGTGCTCCTGTGTCTTTCAAGATATTTGTGCGAAGTCCAGTGATTAAAGAAATTGTTACTCCCAAAGTTGTACTCTTTGCTGTTACTGCTGATAAAGGTAAGGGGATCCAAGAAGTGCCTGTCAGGACGAGGGCTCAGACTTTGGTTATCCTTGAGACCACCCAAAAGGAAATGGAGGAGATTTTAAAGATAATTAAGAAGAGCGACTATGATGTCCTAGAGAAGCTGGGGCAACCCCCTTCAAAAATCTCTATGTTGGCTCTATTGCTCTGCTCCGAGGCTCATGCCAAAGCCTTGATCAAATTCCTAAAGACGGCACACGTGCCTCAAGAAACTTCAGCGGATCAGTTTCAAGAGTGTGTGGCCAGCCTTACAGCCGACAATGGTCTTGGCTTTTCTGATGCCGATATAACATCTAAGGGAATAAAACATAATGATACGCTGCATGTCTCGGTGGAGTGCAGAGGGACC